GAATAATACTGTGAAGATTGGTGGATAAGTATCTGTTTGGGTCTCTGCTTTCAATGCTTTGGGGAAAATATCTAGGAGTAGAATTGCTGGTTCATATGGTAATTCTACCTTTTTGACGAACTACCAAACTGTTCTCCATAGCAGCTGCACCGTTTTACATTCCCAGGATTGAGGGTTCCAATGTCTCCACATCCTCACCAAAACTTGTTTCCCACCCCCACTTCTTTTTTAAAATAATAAGCTGTAATGGGTGTGAAATGGTATCTCACTGTGGTTTTGATTTGCATTTTGAGATATTATTTTTTCATGTACTATAAATTTTTAATTAAAAATTTTTTCAGAAAAAGAAAGTCAGGGATCAGTATTTCTTTTCTTCATCATAGACAAGAGTTACTTTCTTCATTGCTAAACTCTGTGGCAATGCTTGCTCCTTGGAATAAAAGCTATGACAAACCTAGACAATGTATAAAAAGCAGAGACATTACTTTTCCAACAGAGAATTGTTTGGTCAAAGCTATGGTTTTTCCAGTAGTCATGTATGGGTGTGAGAGTTGGACCATAAAGAGGCTAAGCACCAAAGAACTGATGCTTTTGAACTGTGGTGTTGGAGAAGACTCTTAAGAGTCCTTTGGACTGCAAGGAGCTCAAACCAGTCAATCCTAAAGGAAATTAGTTCTAAATATTCATTAGAAGGACTGATGCTGAAGCTGAAGCTCCAATACTTTGGCTACCTGATGTGAAGAGCTGACTCATTAGAAAAGACCTTGATGCTGGGAAAGATTGAAGGCAGCAGGAAAAGGGGACAACAGAGGATGAGATAGTTGGATGGTATCACCAGTGCAATGCACATGAGTTTGAGCAAGCTCTGAGAGATGGTGAAGGACAGGGAAGCCTGGTGTGCTGCCGTCCATGGGGTTCCAAAGATCTGGACTCAATTGAGTGACTGAACAACAACAAAACACTGTGGAGATTGAGGCCAGGGCTGTCTTGCTCACTGTTGCATTCCCAACCCCTAACAAGGTACCTGGCATCTACTGGGAACTCATTCATGAGGGTGTACACTTGAGGAATAAATGGCTGCATTATTCTCCCAATTTATGTATGATTGAGGGGAATAAGTCATGAAGAAGTGTCATCTTGAAAAACAGACACACAAATATTATTCAACCATAAAAAAGAAGAAAATCCTACCATTTGGGACCATATGGATAGACCTTGAGGGCACTATGCTAAGTGAAATAATTGTACAGAGGAAGATAAATACTCTATGATCTCACTTACATGTGGAATCTAAAAACACAAAACTTAAAGAAAATGAGAGTAGAATGGGGGCTGTTGGTGTCTGGGGGCTGGGGAAGATGTTGGTTAAAATTACAACCTTTCAATTATAAGATGAATAATTTCCAGGGATCTAATGCATAGCATGATGACTACAGATAACAATACTGTATAATATACTCAAAAGTTTCTTTACTGTTCTCACCATAACACAAAAACAAAATGGTTATTATGTGATGTAAAAGATGTGCTGTGCTGTGTGTTAAAAAAAAAAAGTCACTTGTCTCTGACTCTCTGTGACTCAATGGACCATAGACTGCCAGCCTCCTCTCTCCATGGGTTTCTTCAGGCAAGAATACATGGAATGGGGCATGGAGTGGATTTGCCATGCCCTCCTCCAGGGAATCTTCCTGACCCAGAGGTTGAACCCAAATACCTTACGTCTCCTGCACTGGCAAGTGGGTTCATCACTAGTGCTACCTGGGAAAAGACGCGTTAACTAACCTTATTGTGGCAAACACTTCTCAACATATACATACACAAAAACATCACACATTTAAAACTTACACAATGCTATATGTCAATTATATCTCATTAAATCTGGAAAAAAATAATCCACCCAGAAGAAAAAGAAAAATACAGATACATAGTAATTTCTGAAAAAGACGTCATCATAAATTTGGAAGTCTTGAGTAAACAGCATACTTCTAGAACGATCCAGGATGGCCAAGAAAACATAAGTGATGCTACTTACGGTTTTAAGAAAGGCAACTTTGGGGCCTTCATCCATCTAGGTTGCCAGCTAAGGACAAGGAACTTTGCAAGTGTACTCACATTATATAACCAGGGACTCTGTATTTCTTGAGTTTCAGGCAGGATGGATGATGAGAAAGATACATACAATCAGAACACTATTGTACCCCTAAAGTCTTATCACTATTTATATGCTTAAGAGTCAGCTATTAATATTAATCACTTTATCATATTTTCTACAACAGAGGTAAATATTTGAATTTTTTCCAATTAGTTCTTATATCCATGAATGAAAATCACTTATTATAGATAGCAATCATCTATTTGATTTTCCCTAGCTAAAGAAGATGCAAGCCATTCATCTTGTTCTCCAATCCCTTCCCACAAGTTTAAAGTGCAATAAACTACTCTCTCTACTCCCCAAGATGAGACCTTGTCTCAAAGTCACTGAACTATTGCCTTGACAAGCCCCTGATAATCTTTGTGGTGGAGGAAGGGGGGAGAGAGCTAGCTGATGCTGACAGAAGGGCACCAAGATGGGAGTTTTCTGCATTCCTTTCCTCCTTGAGTTACACATGTAAATTCTCCATGCATGAGTCAACTGGAGAGCATAGAAGATGGCCAAGACTTCAGTCCCTTGCTATCACTCCCCAAGAAGCTCCTCTAGACAAGGATCTCCCAACAACAAAAGGCTGTATGTTAGACTACCCCTGGCAGGGATGGGAATGTCCTGGAGAAAGAGTTGAGACTGACCTCTCCTACCTTAGAGAGTGCACAGGGGAGGCCCTAGAAAGCAAGGATGTTCCCAGTCCAAGTAAGAGAGCTGGCATCTAGACTCCTGACACATTGGGAGAACCATTACTAAAGTAGCAAAAACCAGAAGAAAAAGAGCAGACAACTCTTTATAGACAGTCTTGCAGAGAACACTCTTTCTCCCTTCTCTTCATCCCTACTTAGCAGGACCAAGAGCTAAGGGGAGAAACCTAAAGATGCAAGTGAGTGCAAGAATTATTTAGGGGGTAAAAGAGACAGGATTTGTTGACAGCATAAAGCTCAGATTTCTGACTTGAGCAATTACTGGCTGGCTACCCATACCACCAGTCCCTGAAGGAGGGACAGAGAAGAAACAGGCTTTATTTTTGGAGAACAGGGTAGGGGGATAGGTATTTTTGAGTTCACTTTTGGACATACTCAACTTGAAACGCCTGTGAGCTTCAACAGACATTTGGATACTTTTGGATACATTTGGATACATCAGGAACTTTGAAGACAGGGCTGGGCTGAAGCTAAACATATGGGAGTAACCATCATGAAAATTATCATTAAAGCATGGAAATGGTTGAGATTGTGTAGGGAAAGTATGCAAAGGTCATGAGGAACACTATGATTTAAGGAGTGTTAGAGGACTTACTATGAAAGTCAGCTAAGGAGAATCAAAAGAAGTGGTAACAGAGATGCAAGTCACAGAAACCCAGAAAAGAAGTTAAACTAAATGTTTAATGGCATTTGGTGAAGATAAAAAATTTAATGAATCCCTTCACAAGGATGATTTCAAACATACCACCAGAACATCTGAAATCTGTTGGCCATTGACCTGAGGGTTTTTGATGCAGTGGTCCCCACAACAGCAGCATTGGCTTGACATCACCTAGGATCTTGTTAAAAATGAATTGAGGCGGCCCCATCTCATACCTACTAAATCAGAAAATCTGGGGTGAGGTCCAGGAGTCTGTTTTAATAAGCCTCTTGCTGCTGCTGCTGCTGCTGCTGCTAAGTCACTTCAGTCGTGTCTGACTCTGTTGCAACCCCATAGACGGCAGCCCACCAGGCTCCGCTGTCCCTGGGATTCTCCAGGCAAGAGTACTGGAGTGGGTTGCCATTGCCTTCTCCAAACAAGCCTCTTGGGTGATTCTAATCCTCACTAAGGTTTGAGAATCGCTGCTCTAGACAGTGCTTAGATAGCACCTGATAGCCATTCCTTTAGGAACCAATCCCCTTTCTGATAAACTCATTTTCCTTTGGATCTGTTAATAACATGTTGCCAAATTGCTAGAGCCTGAGCAGCAAGATTGGGTCAACACCACAGATTTATTGTAACACAATTCCTATCCTATACCAACTACTGACCACTTCTCCTTCCACTGGGTTATCTTTTTTGCTCTTCATCACATCTAACTATTCACAATGTCTGCTCCTTCACTGCTTCTCTGTGGCCATTTTTTTCCCAATCTCTGATCTTGCTATCAACTGAACAAATCTCTAAATCTCAGTTTAAATTCCTGAGTGACACAGATTGTTGGTGAAACTCGCAAATTGGTACAATTTAGTATTCCGCCTCACTTATCGAAACAACAGCAACAGCGCCTTCGACTCAGTAAGTCCACTTCTGGGAAGTGATCCCACAGAGGGGCCTGCACGTGCGCACAAAGAAGGGGGCCTTTCTCCGCCCACTCAACCAAAGGCCAGCTCACCCACCCTCAGTCAGCCCCCGCCACCAAACCGCACCCCGCCAGTCCAAGCCTGGGTCCCATCCTCAAAGGGCCTCTCCGGGTGAGTCCGTTGAAGCCCTTACGGTGGTCAGAAAGGCCTGTTCACACCTCACTTCACACTGGAGTCAGTTGGAAGCAGCGGGGAAAGCCCTCACAGCCTCAGCGTCCCGCACGACCGGCCCCAACACCAGCCCAAGCCGGCTGCGACTTGATCTTTCCCCTCTCCCTTTTCTCCTCGCGAAGGGAGGACCAGGGCCACTGCCAAGTACCATGACGGCGGCCCTGACCCTGCCGCCTGCCGCCCGCCGCCAGGGGGCGGGCCCCGGAGGGCAGGGGGCGGTGCCGGCGGGGCGGGAAGGGGCGGGGCCGGCGGGCTGATCGCTCCGGTCGCCGTCCGCCCTCACCACAGCAGCAGGAACCGAAGTCGCTGTCGCTTGGGTCGCTGGTCGCCCGCCCTCTGTCTCGGCCGGTCCCGCAGCCATGGAGGACTTCATCGTGATCTCGGACGACAGCGACTCGGAGAGCTCCGGAGGGACCCGCTCGGGCCGGGCGCGGAGGCTCCGCCGGGCCCTGTCCCGGACCCCCGGTGCGCTGCCTCGCCGGACTGTGGTGAGTGAGCGAGCCGCCGCTCGCCGAGCCCCCTACGGTCGGAGCCCGCCGCCGCTCGCACAACCCTCGGCCCAGCCCGCTGCTTTCCGCGGCTCCGCCGCCCGCCTCCGGGCGCCTCACGGCTGCAGCCGCTTCCCGCCTTCCCGGTGTGTCCCGCCCCGAGGAGCGCGGCGGGCCCCGGGTCGAAACGCGGGGTCTCCCGGGCTCCGCGCTCAAGCCCGAGAGCGGCTGAGGCTGGAGAGTGGCCGCTGAGCACATGGACGAGGTCCTGGCGCGCCAGGTGCGGGGGCCGCTGGAGCCCACAGCCGGCGGCGCTCCTCAGGCCAGGCCGCGGGCTGCCCAGAGCCTTGGGCGGGGGGCGGGGACACACGGGGTCCTCTGGGGAGACCCGGACCTCGAGGCGGGCGTGCGGGAGCGCGTAATTGTTTGGCCTGTGGTGTGTACAGATGTGTGCAGGGAGGTAACAGGAGCCCGGGCGGGGAGGGAGGGAAGCTGGGGCCTGGGCCAGACGGTGGCCAAGCTCCAGGGCCTGGCAGTCGAGCGAGGGGCCCGGTTTTGGAGTTGTGCGGGAGGGCGGTTTATGGCGCTTCGCAAACATTTACCAAGCTCTAAAGGAATAGGGAGGGAAACATCCACGGTTTCTTTACCCCTCGGGCTGGTTAGTCTTTGTCCTTCTGCCTAAAGTGGTGAATAAAACATCTGTGGTCCCTGCCTTTCTAGAATCCTCCACAGATATTTATTGAGCTCCTACTATGGGCCAGGTATACTAAGAGCTGGGGATGCGATGAAGAACTCTACATTCCTGGCTTCTGTCTTAGAAGGTGATAAAATCAACAAGTAGCTATAGAATACTCAAGGGATGGGAGGTGGGCGGGGCTTTCTCGGTATCAGGAGACTCTCAACATCAGACGTCCAACAATCTTCCCAGCCTCCTAAAGCTACCCCCCAAAAATAACAGAATTGTCAAGCTGATGTTATTTGTAAACGCCTTTCTTCCTATGTAAATATTTCATCTAGACAAGTCCAGCTTCTGCTCCTTCAATCCCCTTCCCAGAGTTTTTAGTCCCTAAGCCTGCACTGTGAGCCACTTCTGTCTCAGTTATAGTGTTAAATCTAGGAGGTCATTATAAGAATGAATGGCATGCAAATCCAATTAACTTATACTGCTGTGCTGCCACGGTTCAAGCAAGAGGAATTCTCTATAACTTTCAGTAAAGAATTTAGAAGAGATGGACAGACAAGAGATTTTCAAGGTAAAAGTGACTGGATGTCCCTAGTACAGTGTGGGGAACATACTAGATAGATTTGTTGGATGAAAAAATGGTTGACGGAATGGGGGGGAGAGCAGTTCAGACAGACGTTTGATGGTGAGAGTGAATGTAACAGAAGCAGGCTTGAGGTGGCAGAAATGCTGCATTCACTTTGGACCTCAGAGGACTTGAATTCTGGAGAACAGTCAGGATTGGAGAGATGTGGTAATTATCTAAATAGAAAGAAGCACTGAAGGCCTAATTATGTTTGAGATAATCAAGGGAAAGAATATAGAAAGAAAAAAGATGGAAGAAAAAAGTACTGCAGAATAACCCTCAACTGCCTCTCCTAATTCTTCCTCTTCCCTCTCCTCCTTCTCTCAGTCCCCCTTTAACTTTGTACTTCCTACCAGCTTTGCTTTTTTCTCCCAAGGAGTGTCCACCTCCCATCATCCTGGGCCAGCTTCCTTCTTCAAGTGCCCAGATGTCATCCTTAGCCAAGTCTGTGGTATGTGCTATAACCCTCTTGCATATACATAGGGGTGATCACAAGCTTCCCCTCCTCCTCTGTGACCACTCAATCAAACATTTTGAGTTGGAGCCATTTAACTGAAGAGACGTGAAAGGCACGTTCCAGAGTAGCACCCAATGTAAATCTCTCTTCTCCAGATATTTCCTCCAGCTTTCTCAGAACTCCTGGCTGGTTCTCCTTTTATCCTTCTTGCAAGTTTATAAGGGTGGTAGTATAACCACACAAAATATCAGAGGCATTAAGAGACTCTCAAGGTTATAGAGCCTAAAGCACCTTTGTCCAGCTTTTCCTCAAGGCCCTGAGGTCAGAGAAACCTCTGTTTAAATCCCAACTCTACTTCCCAATCCGCCCAACAGCTCTGGGAGCTTTGGCAAGTTCTGTTGTCTCTTTCAGCTTCTGCATTTGAGAACATTAATATCTACCAGGCAGGACCCTTAGAAGGTTTTTAATGAAAAGATGCAAGGACAGTGCCCAGCATAAATTGATAGCTTTTGCTACACTTTATGCTGTTTTCTCAATCTTGGCAAGCAATGAAATAAAAGAAACAAGTTTTGTGATTTTTTTTTTCTTTTTTGCAAATATTGACTGAGGGGAAACAACTTGCTTGAATTCAGGAAATCAGAAAGCCACCTTCAATGCTGAAGTTGATGTTTCTGAACTTCTGGCTCTTAACCTGGGCTTTAGACTTCAGTAAGTTGATGAAATATGTCTGTGTTTTTTATATTTATTGCTTCCCCCTCTCCCCTCCCACCCCCCACACACTTATAAAAGCAGAACATGTTTAGCTAATTTTGGTTGGCCTAATTACAAAGATTGAGAAATGTATACAAAAGAAAGTTTAAATTGCCCTTAATCTCACCTTGCAAAGATAACCAATGCTAACATTTTGAAGTATGCCTGCCTAAACTGTTCTTTGTGAGTGCCAGGGTGCGCTCATATATACCCATGTGTCTCCCACTGTGTTTTTGCAAATATGAAATCTTGTTGTACTTCTTTTTCTTGTTTGCCTTTTTGTCTTAATATACTTTTCTACATCAACAAATATACATTTTCACCAATATTTATAATGTATTTCATTGTACAGATTTATAATTACATGTACCTTTTCCTATAAATGGGTGTTATGCTGCCATTTCTAAACTTTCTCTATTATAAGACAAGTCAGAAATTTCCTAATAAGTAATCTTTGTACCTTTGTTCATTTGTTTGTTTAGGATAAGTTCCTCTTAGAAGTGAGATTGCTGAGTCTAAAGGTATGCCCTCTTTGGGGACTTTCGATATATATTGTCAAATTTCCTACAGAAATTGTACACCAATTATATTCTCACCATACCCCTTTCTCTACTACCTACTCACCCCTAGATATCGTCAATTTACTGAATATGTAAATAATTATGGAACACTTATTATATGCCAGACACTGTTGTTGGCATACAGTTGCTAAGATTACAGATAAAAATACAAAATCAAGTCCCTGTTTTTGTGGAGATTTCATTTTAGTCAGAGGGAGACAAAGAGTAAACAATCGCATAGGTGTCTAACACAGAGTGTTAGAAAGAAAAGTAAGGCATTTTCGGTTTTTCAGTATTTGCTGGTTTGATAGCTAGATTCTGTGAGCTGTCATGGTTTTAATTTTTTCTTTTGGTTGTAGGTAGTGATTCGTTCTCTCATTAAATACTTGTTGAGCACATGCTCTGCCCATGGGTACCAAAGGTGAACAAGGTGACAATGAACCTATGTTCTAGTGGGGAAATAGCAATAAACTAAAAAATAAGTGAACAATATAATAGAGAACAATTTGGGTGGGTTTGGGAACGTTAGAATGTGTCTTCAAAGAAGGCCTCTCTGAAGAGTTAATATTTGATCTGAGACCAAAATGACAGATTTGTTATGAGAAGATCTTGGGGAATAAAGTAACAGCAAAGGGTGTGGCAAAAGCAAAGATTGGAAGTAAGAAGGAGCATGACTAATTGAAGGAATCAAAAGGCCAGTGGGGCTAGAATGTAAGTGACAGAGTTGGAAGCGATGAGAAGTATATAGACTTATATAGACTATATAAGGCCTGTAGCCCATGATAAGGAATTTGGATTTTATTCTTATATAATAAGAAATCTTTGAAGGCTCTTAAGCAGGGGAATAACATGATCTAATTTACATTTTTAAAAAGTGACTTTAGCTACTGTGAGGAGAAAAGACTGTAAGGTAAGTTGACCATATAATTTATCATCCAGATGGGGATCCTTTTGCAAATGAAAGAGGTTGCTAACTGGACAGAGTGTCAAACAACAGGCAAAAACTGAAACTGTCCCATACAAACCAGTTTCACCTTACTGTAAGGGGACAAAAGTGAAATCAAAGAGATTTGTCTTGGAGGTTGCAGCAGTAGTCCAGACCAGAGATCGTCATAGCTTTGTAGGTGGTGCGACTGGATAACTGGAGGGATATGGAAGGTACCAATGAAGTAAAATCAGCTGGTCATGAAACAGCAGGACCCTGTGGTCATTGCCTTGTATGTCCTCTGCCTGCCTTTTGTCTGTGGAAAAACTTTAGCTACATAGTAAGTTTAATCAGAGAAGGGAGAACATGCAGAAACAAAGGAAAGCAGTCAAGGAGACCAATGATAATTTAGTCCGTAAACAAATTCAAGGACCTTTCCTTCCTTCTCAGGCATTATAGATAATATTCTGAGCCAAATCCTGTGAGCTGTCTTCTGGTTACTGAAACCCCCACCAGGTAGAAGTTAACCACATAATGACCAGACTGTAACCATCACATAAGCTGCCACAATTCCAAGAACTGGCTTCAAGGGAGTGAGAAAAAACCAACCCTGGAACTGAAGACTAAGTGTACTTAAAACAATCAAGGTGACGCTGATCAGACCACTGATGACCAATTTCAAGATAACTGTCAGAGCTGACTGTACAGTTTCTGCATGTAGCCCCTTCCCTCAGCCTATAAAAGCTCTTGTCCACTGATTTTCAGGGGGCGGAGTTGGCCTTTGGACAGGTGTCCACCCTCCAAACCCCCCCATACCCTAGCTGCTGGCATCCAAAATAAAGCAAACTTTCCTTTCCAACAACCTTGCTTCTTTATTGACTTTTTGAATGACAAGCAGCCAGACCCCACTTTTGGTTACAGTCCCGATCCTTGGTTGTGGTTAATGAGGGAAAGGGGGGAATTCTGAATGATGCCTTGGTTTGTCCATAGCAACTGGATGC